TATATCAGCATTAGAAAAAAACTTTCAGCATAAGAGGTAAGAGTTGTTGGTAAACATTTTTTGTTTTGTTTGAAGTATTCCTGTGGAAATGGAATTTTGATAATAGTTTTCACTCCAAGAAGTGTTACTTATTTAGGTATAGGAATAATTGGTAATGCTAGAAATCTTAAGCAAATACCATAATTTTATCAGTGGGTGAATAAAAGCTTAACTTAGTCAAATCTAGAATCATCAATAAAATTGAGACCTAAAGTGGAACCTAAATACTAGAAAATATTTTTATCATAACTATAATTATGTCACTTTTTGAATTCTAGCTTATTAAATACTCTATATTACATTTGTTTCACCTTCACATTAGGTTGAGGATCCTTTCTCTCTTTCTCTTGCCTTGCACAAAATGGCTATTAAGCCCCAGTATTCTTCCTCCTCAAAATTTTGGCTATCATCAGTCCTCAATTAAGAAGGTAGCTAGTTTTAAAACTTTATTTTATAGATTCACAGGACTTTGTACCAGAGATCTCTGGTACACTTCATCTGGTTTTCCTCAGAAGGTATTTTTATCTATTTTTTTTTTAAAGATTTTAAAAATTTATTTATTTGACAGATCAGAAGTAGGAAGAGAGCAGGCAGAGAGAGAGGGGGAAGCAGGCTCCCCGTTGAGCAGGGAGCCCGATGTGGGGCTTGATCCCAGGACCCTGAGATCATGACCTGAGCAGAAGGCAGAGGCTTAACCCACTGAGCCACCCAGGCGCCCATATTTATTTTTATTTTTTAAGGGTTTTTTAAAAAATCGATTCATTATTTTGTTTTTTAAATTTTGAGAGAGTGCTCACTGAGCAAGCTGAGTTGGGGTGGGGAGGAGCAGAGGCAGAGGGAGAGAGAATCTCAAGCAAACTCCTGTTGAGTGGGGAGACCAACATGGGCTCAGTCCCACAACCATGAGATAACGACCTGAGCTGAAACCCTAGAGTCTGATGCTTAACAGACAGCTACCCAGGCTCCCCAAAAGATTTTATTTTTACGAAAACTTTTTACCCATTATGGGGCTCAAGCTCACAATGCAGAGATCAAGTCACATCCTCCACTGCCTGAGCCAGCCAGGTTCCCCAGACATTATTTTTAATTAAGTCATAATACTTGAATATTTTTCCTGTAGAATTTTTTGGATAGTAGTTAAAGAATACTGAAAATAGGTAAGGGTTAGGATGAGTCACTGATAATAAATACCTTCATGTTGCATGTAGAAGGGGTGGAGCAAAGAGGACAGATGCTATTGCATCTTACTGCTCAACTCAAGTCTTAAAGAATTTATGAAATGTTCTTCTCGTAAAGCTCAAGCAAGGGGGGACTAGTCAGCCTTTCACCTCTGGAATGATTGAAATCCTCCTCTGCTGAGATTGCCCTTCGGTGAGCATTCACATGAGACGTAAATACCTTCACCTTAGGAAAACCTAAAGCAAACATGCTTGCTAAAAATTTAAGTCTGCATTCCGACCAGGGGAGGGTCTTATGATTCAGTCTTGGGGCAGGCCTTAGGAATCTTCATTTTCAAACACCATGGAGTGTTGCAGATTTTTAGAGGACACACTTGAGAAATTAGATTTTGAGATTTTTTTTTTTTTAAGAGAACATAGGTTTTGTTTATTTTTTATATGTAGGCTTCATGCCCAGTGTGGGGCTTGAACTCACCATTCTGAGATCCAGTCACATGCTCTACTGACTGGATTAGCCAGGTGCCCGGAGAGGGTGTAGTTTTGTTGCTACTTTATATTCTTATTAAGGTTACAGTTTCATAAATTAATGGTTTGCAAAATTTTGAGCATAGTTACAAATGTATTTTATATATGGAAGTGTATATACATGCATATATGAAACAGTTTCATTGCAGTTACATATAAGTAGATTCTGATTTTTTTTTTAAGATTTTATTTATTTATTTATTTGACAGACAGAGATCACAAGTAGGCAGAGAGGCAGGCAGAGAGAGAGAGGAGGAAGCAGGCTCCCCGCTGAGCAGAGAGCCCGATGCGGGGCTCGATCCCAGGACCCTGAGATCATGACCTGAGTTGATGGCAGGGGCTTAACCCACTGAGCCACCCAGGTTCCCCTAGATTCTGATTTTTAACTTTTAAATCATAGTTGTGAACCTGGAAATTGATTTCACAGAACATCTCACCATTAGTTTGAAAACACCATCATAATACTAAGTGTTGTCCATGTTAGGAAGACAGCATGATTACTAAGATGGAGTAGTACATTGATATCCCTTTTCTCCTTAAGGTGATTTAATCTTTGCGTTCCTCTGAGAAAGTTTTATTATTAATATTTTAGAAAAGTAGAAAAATATTTTTCTACTTTTGCCATATATCTACCACCCACAGTTACTAGCTTGGCTACCCCCCCACCCCCTTTTTGGTGTCTTATTAGGACACAATGAAGTGCCTTCCTGTGTTACTTAAAAATGTTTAATGTTTGTATTTTATATGCTTTAGAGGGAAAGGCAAGGAACAAACCCCAGAAGTGAAATTAATGTTTTTATTAAACTCCTGAGGGAGAGCATAGTAGATTCCACAGCTTATTTGGTATAAAGTTCTAAAATAATTGACTAGTTCATCCTCTTTTTGAGGCTATTAAGATAGAGAAATGATCCTGAAGTCTAATAAATAAGTTTAAAATAGGATCAAATGGGGCTCATAGGTGGCTCAGTTGGTTAAGCTTCTGCCTTTGGCTCAGGTCATGATCCAGGGTCCCCCCAGCAGGGAGCCTGCTTTTTCCCTCTCTCACACCTTGCCTCTCTGCCTACTTCTGCAAGCTCGCTCACTCTCTATTAAATAAAATCTTTTAAAAAATTTATAAAAAAGTAAGATTAGATTAATTAAATGAAGTAAATTTTAGTCAAGAAAATGGCTGGCATTTTCCTGTTAACCCTTACCTGAATCCTTTAAGGTAGGAAAAAGTAGCGTTAGCCCATTTTATGCATACAAGAACTGCATCGAGAGACATTTAGTAACACCATGGGTACAACGTTGGTAAGAACAGGTGTGAAACTTTACCTCCGACATTAGGGGGATTATAGTTTTAGTTACGCCTAATGCCTAATAAGAGGATGGGCATTTTGTATTCAGCTGTGAATAAATTTTTTTAAATTTTTTATTATTTTTTATTTTGCCCCATGTGAAAGTGCAGTGAGGCAAAATAATAGCCTCTTAAGAGTTAGAAATTTGATTGCTAGTATCAGTAGTGGTCTCACCTCAGATAAGGTATGTTGTTTGGTGGACCTGTATGTGAAAATCCAAAAATCTCACCTCTCTTGTTCATACGAGAAAAGGCTAAATGCTCAAATTACCCTGCAGGTAAATAGGAAGCAAACATTTAAGTACCAGACCTATGCTAGAATAGAAAGCCACTTTGCAGATCTGATGTAGAGAAGAGGGTATCCTTTGTGGACTAGCCCATATTCAAGTCTGTCCCACCCTAGGTAAAAGTTTTTCTCTTCCTTTGTGGCTTATATGTATTTTCTTACAAGCTGTTGGTTTGTGATCACCAAACTAACAGATGACTTCAGAGAAAGAATAAACATAGATATGAGAAACAGAACTGGTGGTGTTGGCTCTTACTGCATCCCCGTCTGAGTTTAGGTGTGTTTATAGCCTTAAAACTTAATGTAAAGATTTCTTCCCAACAAAGGTATGCTGAACCTTTTGGGGGACATAAGGACATATGCCAGAGAATGAGAACCTAAGACTCATTTATTAGAAAAAGACGTGCAAGAACATTGCATCTTAGGAGTTCTGACCACCTGAAGCCAATCCTTGCTGCCTTAAGGGATTGAGAAACAGAACTGTGTTCACTGCTCTTCAGACAGCATCAGATTGTGCTTAAAGTTAACGTGTTAACATGCACATGGTGAAATTATTTGGTAGTGTGATTTTATTTTAATGTGAAGGAATCAGTGTAGCATTTTAGCTTTAAGATGGTTAGCCCGGGAGGATTAAATCACAGTGATTGCTAAGTCTACATGACAAACAAGGTTAAGTTGACCCTTATTTTATTGGAAACTGAGAATTGTGAAGGTTTGTCTTCTATATTAGTGCTTTGCAAACTGGGTCTGGACCAGTTTTAAAATCCATGTATTGAGTCTGGCTAGCATAAAAATAAATGAAATAGTAGTAGGGAAAAAATATATCACATAATATAAGGTTAAACATTTAGTGAAACTTCGGCTTAAGTCTGTGTGTATATGTATATATGCGTGCCTGTATACATACATAAATATTACTTGATTACAATATGAAAATATTTCTTAATGTGTGATACATTTTTTAAAAAGTTAGCCACAGCTCTGTACCTGTCTGCTCATGTGGTAATTTGGGCATCTGAATTTTTCACATTTTTGTGGTTTTGTGGGGAAGGAGGTAGATGAAAGGCTTTAAGAGTTAGGGAGCAGCTGGTAGCTGGTCTTTGGATCTTTAGTGATTAAGTGAAGTTGAGATGGGATTTTATTGATTCAGTGTTTTTGGGTAGTTAAGGCTAAATTTGTTTTGTGAAGCTTTTGAAAGCTCTTAGAACCAGAGGGAGTTATGTATGTTGTATATTTATAGTTATATTTACTGGACTTGTCCAAAGTCCAGCAAATGTAATATCAAATGATATAAAATGTTAAACTGTCTCATAGAATGCCTTTTGATCTAAGACTGAAAGGTCCATTTTAAATAATATCAGCTCTTCTGGCGCTGCTTAGAACGGTCATTTGATTTCATACTTAAATGTGTAATCTGTTTATACCTAAAATGTAGGACCAATAAGAAATGAGGGGCTTTTCGATTTTGGTGGGGAGGTGGTCAGTAGGTTTTTATTTTTATGTTTTTATTCTTTAGTATGAAATAAGAGTTCGGGAAAGGTCATATGTACAAACACCGAGTATTGTTTCAATGTAAGAAATTAAATCATAGACCTTGAGTTAATAGCTTCTTTTTTTTCTTTGATTTCTTTCCAAGGTTTGGGCCCCATGGGATCCCTGTGACAGTGTTTCCCAAAAGGGAATATAAGGAGAAACCTGAAGCCATGCAGCTCCAAAGTAATACATTCCAAGAAGGGACAGAAGTCAAGCGTGAAGTGAATGGTGCTGTTCCCGATGACCCTTCTCCCAACTCGCCTCCCGAGCCAGGCTTGGCTGAAAGCCTGTGGACTTCCAAACCACCGCCTCTCTTCCATGAAGGAGCACCTTACCCTCCCCCTTTGTTTATCAGGGACACCTATAACCAGTCAATACCTCAGCCACCGCCTCGGAAAATTAAGCGACCCAAACGAAAAATGTACAGGGAAGAACCTACTTCAATAATGAATGCTATTAAACTGCGACCCAGGCAAGTCCTGTGTGACAAGTGTAAAACCAGTGTTGTTGCAGAGAAAAAGGAAATTAGAAAAGGTAGTAGTGCAAGTGACTCTTCTAAATATGAAGATAAAAAACGGAGAAACGAAAGTGTAACTACTGTGAACAAAAAACTGAAAACTGACCATAAAGTGGATGGGAAAAACCAAAATGAAAGCCAGAAAAGAAATGCTGTGGTGAAGGTTTCCAATATTGCTCACAGCAGAGGCAGAGTAGTCAAAGTTTCTGCTCAGGCAAATACATCGAAAGCTCAGTTAAGTACTAAAAAAGTGCTCCAGAGTAAGAACATGGATCATGCAAAAGCTCGGGAAGTGTTGAAAATTGCCAAAGAAAAGGCACAAAAGAAGCAAAGTGAAACCTCTGCATCCAAAAATGCACATTCAAAAGTCCATTTCACACGTCGCTATCAGAGTCCTAGCTCAGGTTCCCTTCCACCCCGGGTTCGTTTAAAACCACAAAGGTACAGGAATGAAGAAAATGACTCTTCTTTGAAGACGGGACTTGAGAAAATGCGGAGTGGCAAGATGGCACCCAAGCCCCAGTCTCGCTGCACCTCTACCCGCTCAGCAGGTGAGGCCCCTTCAGAAAATCAGAGTCCCTCAAAAGGCCCTGAAGAGGCCAGCAGTGAGGTTCAGGACACAAATGAAGTGCTTGTGCCTGGTGAGCAGGATGAACCACAGACACTGGGCAAAAAGGGCAGCAAAAGCAATCTCTCTGTTTACATGACCCTAAATCAAAAGAAATCTGACTCTTCCAGTGCTTCCGTGTGTAGCATTGATAGCACAGATGATTTGAAATCCTCCAACTCTGAGTGTAGTTCTTCTGAAAGCTTTGATTTTCCTCCAGGCAGTATGCATGCACCTTCCACCTCCTCCACTTCCTCCTCTTCAAAGGAAGAGAAAAAGCTCAGTAATTCCTTGAAAATGAAAGTCTTTTCCAAAAACGTCTCTAAATGCGTCACACCAGATGGCAGGACCATATGTGTAGGGGACATTGTTTGGGCCAAGATCTATGGCTTCCCTTGGTGGCCAGCCCGTATTCTTACTATAACTGTGAGCCGGAAAGATAACGGCCTTTTAGTCCGACAGGAGGCCCGTATTTCATGGTTTGGGTCTCCAACAACCTCTTTTCTTGCTCTTTCGCAACTCTCCCCCTTTTTAGAAAACTTCCAGTCACGCTTTAATAAGAAGAGAAAGGGCCTGTATCGCAAGGCTATCACAGAGGCGGCTAAGGCTGCCAAGCAGCTGACCCCTGAAGTGCGGGCTCTGTTGACACAGTTTGAAACGTGAACATGGACAGTAAGGTAGGCAAGAACCATTGGAAGGCGCCACAGATTTTCTAGTCTAGTCAGGAGTAACTTCTTCGAAATAGCTTGGCCTGATTGGAGAGAGGAATTATACTCAGTTGGCTGCTTTTTTTTATACTTACCTTAATAGCCATTTTTAATAGACTGAGAAGCTTAAAGAACAAGCAAATTTTGTCTTAAGGAAGTGAGATTTTAGCAGTATTTTTCAGTTTTGAAGTCAAACCATCCCAAGGCATAGGAGCCATAGCCTCAACTGAAAATGAATTTTTGCAGGGACTGTTAATGGCCATTTGTACCTAGTACTGTGTGTATGTGTGTATATTCATATATATGCACATGTACGTATATGTGTGTATATGCATACATACATATATATAACATAGAGCCGGTCACTGTGTGACACAGGTTGCGTATTTGGGATTGCAGTAAGGGCTGATGAGCTGGTTTGGGGGCTGGGGGCGGGGAATAGTGTGGCTATTTAATGACTACTTGTTTTTTAATTAATGAATACTTAGCCTTTCTATGTGCACAATGGCGCCAGAGTTTGATAGCTAGGTGTTTGACAAACTGAGATGCTTGCTATTCAGTTGCCGACTGTGGAAATAGCCCAGTCTTTGGGGTTAAGACTTTTAAGGCTGACAAGGTTTGAATCATCACTCTTTTGTTTAATGGGGATTTAACAAAAACTTTCAAATTTCTGGTTTGGGAGTTTAGGTAGGTTTGTCTTTGGATATGTAAATAGTTGATTGCTAAATTTGGTCAGATTTCTCCTGACTGGCTGTTCCTAAATTCTTAGGATACGTCCTGGTAAATTACACTTTGTGAATTGTCATATGTGTAATTGTTGCATTTTGGATGTACCTAATTTGATAATTTTAAAAAAGTATTTCGTTTAAGGTATCTGTTTGCAGGTCAGAAAATGAGAAAATGTAATTGTGTAATGCTTTGAAATGTAAAAAAAAAAAAAGCTGTAAATAAAATCGACTAAATCCAAATTATTTGTGTGTGTTTCTCAAAAAGCTTTGAAAAATTTCAAGATGGTAGAAAGTTACTCTTTGTAATAGTTTATAGAGGAGATGAAAAAAATCAAACCTTTATTTTCCTATTTGTCCTATCAGAGAATATATTACCTGACCATAGATAAAATTCAAGTAAGTGATTAACCCATATATTCTGAAAATGAGGTTTTACAGTGTAGAGGTCTGATATGCTTCTAGATTTGAGACCATCCTCCTGCCAATTTCTCATAAATGTGTGGGTTTAATTTTCCTCATGTTTAGCCTTACTACTTCATTACATGGCTCTTTTTTTATATTTGGGTAGTTAAAACCAGTCTCTCTTGCCTGGTCTGCCTCAGGTATCCTCGCTTTTGGGGCTAGTAACTTATATCACTTTTTCTACATGGTCCATCTGTCCCTCAGATTTGACTTATTTTCCATTTTTAGCTTTTTACTGTTAGTGAAAAATATATCTGATTGCCCGTGAAGGCAAGTTTATCCCAAGATTTTTCAAGTTGTTTTCATATTTTTTTGTGTTTACCTTTTGAATTTTGATAGAATATCAGTTTGACACTTTGGAAACTTGAAAATTTTAAAGAGAGCAACTTTCTGTGTAATTCTAAGTAATCCAATTTGAAATGTCTTAGTTACCTATGGAATTAAATGATGAACAGATTAATGGAGATTAAAACCCATAATCTGTCCGCTTCCTTAAAGTTAACAGGCTTTTATGATTTATATACAGATTTTTGCAAAAGCAAGTAGAATTTCTTCTGGGGAACTCAGTCAATGCTTTTTGATTATAACTAAACACACAATTGAAAAAAAAACAATGTCTTTCACTTGAGTAGAACATATTCTTTCCTGCAAACAGAAACAACTATACTATTTTTAAAATTCTTTGATTATAACAGGTTGAAAGATGTTCATGGTGTGACTGAGGGGTTTTAAGGAAGTATCTTGAAAGATTGAGTATTTTTTCAGATTAATGAACTTGTTCAGATATTTCTGAGTTTGAAATCTAAGGTTTAGAAAGATTTAAGCAAGGCGGAGCAAAAAGTCAGTTAAAATAATGTAATTCCAAGGCTTCATGTAATGATCCAGGTGAGTTTTATCTTAACATAGTGGGTTTGACAGTGGATATCGCTAGTAAGTGCGTGCTTTGGCAAATGCACTCTGGTGGCATAAACCAAATTTCATTTGTTTTGGAAGCCCTGGTTGGGGTGGGGTTGGGCGTGGGGATAAAGTCATGATTGTTGAATACAAAAATAACATTCGGTTTTATATAGTCCATATCACTAAGGGAAAGGTTGAAGCATAATCATAAATGTGCATGATCTCTAATTAAATCAGCCAAATGATCCCTCCATTTTAAACTGTCTGGCATATTTCATCTGATGTTTCACTAAGGAAAAATTTCAAAAAATTTCTTAATCTTAAAATCTACATATTCTAAACACTAATCCAATAGCCGCATATTAGTGTTTTATTAAAATGGAAATTTAAAAAATTTTGAGTATAGTTGACACATGATATTACATTAATTTCAGATATGCTACATAGTGATCAAATTTCTCTACATAATAATGCCAAATAGAAATTTCTTAAGCAGCTAAATTTATCCAGTATTTACTGCAGATGGAGGAGATAGAGTTGAATTGGCTAGTTATAGCTATTTTCCTTTAAAGTGGTGAAAGGAGGCATTTATTCTTTGGTGATAACCAAATATGTTTTTACCCTTTTGCAGAGAGAAAACTAGGTTTAGGCCAAATATCCAGTGATCTAAAAGGAAAAAAAAAAAAAAAAAGTTAGCAAGGGGAGCAACCAAGTGAAAGTAAGAGCTGTAACAGCCAGAGAGGCCTTTATTTCTAGAATTGCTCAGAAATTTAAAGCATCAGTATTTTTCTCTTAGTTTCCCAGAATCTTTTGAATAGAATGCTGACTGTTCATTTGAAAGGGATATCTTTGACTCATTTTAGATGTGGAACTAGACATAAAAGAGGTCAGTGAGATGGAGAAAGTAAAATTCATAGTCTGGAGCCCATTTGCATGACTTGATATATCCTATGTGGTTTTGATGGGAAATTCTATAAACAGTAATTTTAAATTAGTACTAAGTAGAATAGACAAGAATATAGATATGAAGACAGACTTCAGGCAGTATGAAAGTGCAACTAAAATGTATATCTTAGTGCCTCTGAGTGTTTAATACAAAATATTGACTTGCACCTTTGTTTTGAGCAGGTTGTACTTAATATTGGTTATGTTGAAGGAAAGATACACATTTGCATTCCTTCACCTACATACAGGATTCCTTTATATAGAATTGCTGAATTGGGTATTGGAAATACAGGCATACCTCAGAGATCTTATGGGTTTGGTTCCAGACCACCACAGTAAAGGGAGTCCTGAATGTTTTGGTTTCCCAGTGCATGTAAAAGTTATATTGCAGTCTCTGTGCAGTCGCATTGGGTCTAAAAAATGATATATATACCTTATTTAAAAAAAAAAAAAAACTTTACTGCTAAGAAATGCTAACTGAGCTTTCAGTGGGTGGTAATCTCTTCCTGGTATGGAGAGTCTTGTCTTGATGTTGATGGCTGCTGCTGGATCCGGGTAGTTTTTGCTGAAGTTTGGGGTGGCTGTGTAGTTTCTTAAAATAAGATGGTGGTGAAGTTTGCTGCATCGATTGACTCTGCCTTTCATGAACAGTTTGTTTCTTTGGCATGCAGTGTTGTTAGATGGCATTTACCCACAGAGGAACTTCTTTCAAAACTCGTGTCAGTCTTCTCAAACTCTGCCGTTGCTTTTTATCAACTAAGGTGATGTAACATTCTAAATCTAAATTGTTTCAACAATCTTCACAGCATCTTCATCAGGAGTAGATTCCATCTCAAGAAATACTTTCTTTGCTCATCCGTAAGAAGCCGCTCCTCCTCTATTAAAAGTTTTCTCACGAGAGAGCAGCACTTCAGTCCCATCCTCGGGCTCCACTTCCCACTCTAGTTCTCTCGCTGTTTCCACCACATCTGCAGTTACTTCCGCCACTGAAGTTTTGAACCTTCAATTCGTTAAAAAAAAAAAAAAGGGGGCCAGTATCTGCGAAGCATAGTAAAGTGAAGCACAGTAAAACAAGGTATGCCTGTACCTTAAATCTATAATTTGGATCTAAAATTAGGTTTTTCCCTTTTAAATTGTGAATTTTTCTGTGTTAATCAGTTCATTTTTGTTTAGTACTCCTAGCAGAGAAGGAACTGACAGTCTAGAAAAGTTGATCAGATGTTTTGATTGAGGATATTGTTTTGATTTGGGCCCAGTGAAGGCCTCCAATAGGGAATTTGCCAGAGAGATTGAAGACCTTATTTCTGAGTTGGGGCATATTTAGCATTTGCCTTGACACTGTATTAGCATGGTGGCTGTTAAGACCGTCTCTCATTGAAATGCCTGATATAGGCAGTTCAAAGAAAAGAAGAGGCTGGTACCATGCCAATGGCCAGGAGAAAATAAAACAGTGAAGCTGAATCAGTTACTGTTACCTGGTTCTGAGTTAATAGGCTCTTCATATTCTGTATCTACAGTTTGCATATACTCACAGTATGCCTTCACTGGACAGACTATGTAGAATTAAAACTGAAAGCTTTAGGGGTGCCTGGGTGGCTCAGTTGGTTAAGCGTCTGCCTTCAGCTCAGGTCACGATTCTGGGTCCTGGGATCAGGCCCCACGTTGGGCTCCCTGCTCAGTGGGGAGTCTGCTGATCTTCTCTTTGCCTGCCTGCCTGTGCTCTCTCCCTGTCAAATAAAAATCTTAAAAAAAAAAAAAAAAAGCTTTAGCAATTAATATGATCTTTTGCTGTTTTGAATAAAGGAATAGAAAGTTTAAAGTCCTAGTGGTATAGATGCTTCCTGTATTTTCAGTTTTCTAGGATATTGTGATGGCTCTACCATGGATAGTCGACACTAAGATCAGAGGAGAAACAGCTCAACTCTTTTTGTTTAATCT